CAACTTTCTATAAATTTTAACAAAACCCACTACATTCAATTTACAGCTAAAAATAATAATCCTAAATCTGAAATAAAAACTGTATATGATAAAAAAACAGATTACATCTATATCCAATATTGTGACCAGAAGATGAGGAAGAAGACGTAAGAAGATGCTGGATGTCCTTGGGGACAGAAGAGGATATTTTCATTTGAAGGAGAAAGCTCTAGATCACATCAAGTGGAGGAACTGTTTTGGAAGAGACTGTGGACCTGTCATCTTGACAGATTACAGATGAATGAATGAATCCAATATTAAATTTCTTGGAATATTCATTGATGACACAATGAGCTTGAAATACCACATTTAGTATATTAGTTCAAAACTAAGTTCTGTCTGCTACATAATAAGATTGCTTAAACCATACACGTCCATAAATACCTTAAAAATGGTTTATCACTCTTATTTTAATTCTATTATAAATTATGGTTTACCCTTTTGGGGTAACCCACCCCGAAGTATAAAAATTTTTAGAATGCAAAAGAATATAATTAGAATTATATGTTGGGACGCAGAAGGAGGGATTCGTGCAGGAACTTATTTAGAGAATTAGAAATCTTACCACTGGCATCTCAGTACATACTATCTCTTATGCTCTTTGTGATAAAATAGAAACAAATTCATAGTAAATTCATAGATTCATAGAATAAATACCAGAAAGCAAAATAATCTACATCAGCCTCTTGTAAATTTGAGTAAATACCAAAAGGGAGTTTACTGTTTAGGAACAAAGGTCTATAATAATCTATCACAATACATTAAGGATATATCGAGTGACACTAAGAGTTTTGAGGTACAATTAAAACAATGTTTATATTTATTCTTTTTATTCTTTACAGGAATATTTTGGTTATATATCTTTTTAAGGTGAGAGTAGTTGTCTTGCTTTACAATTAAAAGAAGACAAGGTTGTCAATCTGTGTTCTGGTTTTTAGATGCTTATTTTATATATACACAATTTTTATATTACTGTATACTACTCTTTATTTCAATTTATTATATAATTAATGTATGTTATACAAAACTCATTAATGACATTATGTTTTAACTATTGAATTTTTAATTAACAGACTTGCATAAAACTGTACAAATTGTATAAGGTTTGCCATTACTTTTACTACTAAAAGTAACTTATTTATTATATTGTACATGTTTATCAGTATTTTATACAAATGAGAATGCTATTGGATGACAACTGTAATCCTTAGTTGTGACTGTAACAAGGAGGATCTCCACATCCGCATGAGAATGTTCTCTCGACAGGATTTATGGAAGGTGAATAAATGAAATATGAAATAATATGAAATATAAAATTATAATTCACCGTCTTTCGTACATTTCACAGTTCTACGGGCTGGGAAGTGTTGAAAAACGCACGTAATATCCAGTCTGACTCTTGCCCGCAACTGAGAGCAAACTTGAAGATCATTACACCATGCTGTCTTCAGCAGTCACGATACAAATCATACAAATACAGCACAAACGTCCAACGTACAGGTTAGAACTACATACATATATTACTTACACTTTATTTCTTTTTCTTCATCCTTGTCGTCCTTCTTTACCTTCCTCATTTCATCTCCTAAAAAGTCGGGCATTTTGGCAGTATACTATCAAACAAATACGCTCTTAGTGAAATTAGAACCTAAAGCTGACAAGCAACTTTCGAGCTTTCGAGGTTCGAACAAAATAGATCGATATACATCAACCTAGCTAGTCGCACAGATGATTTCGCTTCAGAAATAAAATTTCCCTCAGAAGCTAAGTACATTCAAAATGATTACATACACACAGACCTAGCCAAAAAGCAGCGAAAATATACAGCGTGTACGGCAAACTAAATTGGTTTAGGGCACGATGTCCATTTGTAAGCATCAGTTCATCCATAAACCGTTTTAAAGTTTAAATAAGTAAAATAAAATAATGTGCATGCTAGCCACATTGTTAGAACTTAGTATTTACTTTCGGCTTAAATAGACACGCGGAAATAAAAATGGAAGGGTTGCCGCCAAGCAGTTTTAATAAACATTTCACAAAATGTTTCTTCCCAGACAGGACAACATCACATGATTCTTAAAGGATACATGAATGGTGACGGAATACACATGAACTAAAACGCTGATATAATTTTTTTAGTTACAATTGGGTCAGATCCAATTTAATACTAAAATATATCAGATTTCACAAGACAAGTTTATTTATGACCTTATTTAAAATTGTCTTTATATCTGGCCAATACGGCTAAACTAACAGGAATGTGAGTCCTTGTTATACGATACCAAAATTGCCCAGGAAACAGGCCATTCACATTTAAGCACCTATAAACCTGAACGTTCAGAATGAGACAAATAACTCAAAGCAAACTCTAGTAGCCATTTCGTTTCATTAAGTCAGGTAACATTTTTGCATTGAACACATTTTGTCTTTTTCAGAGGCAGGTTCACTGAGCTCTGTCATAATCAGTTACACTACAGCGGTAATTTTTAACGTCACTGTTAGTCGAACTGGGAGCCTGTACTGACAGACATGCCCTCTAAATTTCATGTTGTCGGCGATTCTGCTGCACGGTGGTTCCCTATGCAGGTGGCCACCATCGCACAAATATTGAATATTACTTGCAGTTGGCCCAGGCATGGCCAAGGTTTAGGCTGTTATAACACTGCATAAGGCCAGCCTGAGCTCTGTATAACTCTACCTTGATGATAATAATGTTAAGGATATTCAACTTGTATATCTCTTGAAGTTTTATGTTTCTTGTCGAGGTAACAAGGAATAGTTGGAGTGGTTCCACGTGGGTTTGTTGGGCACTAATTGAGTGACCGTCATTTTGCTTCACGTTGAATAAAGACTACATTCTCAAGGCTGTTGGTAATATCTTCTGCTGGAGTAATTACTGTATTGATAGGTTCTTCGCAATTTCAGGAAAAAGTAAAACAATGGAGATTTATTTTTATCCATGTACTTTCATGGCAGAATAATCCATTTCTTTTGTTATGGTAGGGGTTCCATTTCGTGTGATTCGGCACTCGTACTCCCCTTTGATGTGTTCTTTTAAGTCGCTTTGGAGTTGAATAAGATCTGTGGTAGAAGTCATCACTATTGGTGGTGACCTACCGGGTTTTCTGAAAACCTCCTGATCTGGTAATGTGTTCTCTGCTTCAGTAGTCTCCGGGTCCACGTCAGTAGTTCTGAGAGATGTGAAGAAGTTATGAATTAACACTGCTTTTGTAGGCATCTTCACAGCTGCTGACGCTGGGACTATCTTGATCAATTTCTTGGCTGTCTGTAAGGTATTGTTAGAGACATGCCTCTTGCGTCTCTTTACTTCCTGGAAGTCGTCGTCCTGATCCATTGATTCAATTGATGCTTTTTCTCCATTGCACCACTTTGTCCTTCCTGTGCATTCACCTTCAGGACGGCCTTCCATTCATTCAGTGTTACCACAAACATGCTGTAAAGGACACTAAAGAGTGGCTTCCCATCTAGAGCTTTGCAAAACTTTATTGTTCTCCTTCACTACATTCATGATAGGGGTCCATTCAAAACTTTACCCCACTTTAGCCAGTGTGCATCTGGCAAGGTTGTCAGTGTCACTGAGTACTTCATATACTTCATGTACTTGTTGCACCATAGAAGCTGCTTCTGGGTAACTGTAATAGGATGCTGAGTACAAGAGATAAAGGAATCAAAATTTTGCTAGGTTTAATAATAATAAAAGTAACTAGGTTCCGTAGTCTAGGGGTAACATTCCCACCTCATGACTCAAGGTATGCGGGTTCAAACCCGGCAGAGGTCGTGGAATTTTTAAGGGCGGAAAAATTCAGGGAACAAGTCCTCCGGGAGGGACTTTAAGCCATGTGTCCCATGTCATAGATTTACGGCACATAAAAGAACCTCATGTCTCTAGGAGACCTCTGAGTTAATTAGGCAACAATTTCCCGCCCAAGTAGTTTCCAATGCCTCTGGTAGGTGGGGGAAGTATCAAAGTACCGAGGGCCCACCTCGTTGGCTCAACGGGTCTGATAGCACACACCAGTACCAGTAGGGTATGGAGACTGGTAGACTATCAAAGGGGGATGTACAGTAGATCAACAACTGGTCGCGGTGCATGGGGAAACCCACCCCATCCAATAATAATAATAATAATAATAATAATAACTAGGTATGATACACAATTGTCTACTTTCCTTTGATATCACATGCACTGCAGAGAAAAAGAAAAATGGAAGAGGATTCACACATACAGACAGCAAGATGATCCCATGCCTCCGAATAAAAATCAGGGGGATATGCAGAGATACAGCAAGATGATTCTACAAGTCTGAAAATTTGAGGGGGGGGGTGATACACAGACAGAAAGCTAGGTCATCCCATAAGCCTCGTAACAATCATCAGGCAGATATACAAATAGACACAGATGGATACACAGACAGTAAAGTGACATCACAAGCCTCCTCTTATCTTTTCAAAATGAGGAAAGTATGCTAAAACGGAATTTCTGTCAGACTGTAAAAATGCAGTTATTTACCCAATATACAAGGAAAGGGAAATCAAAAACAACTCGGTGCCAGTTTTGGGTAAAATACTTTCTGGGTTCTTGGCTGGCAAATAAAAAGACTGGCTATTAAATCATAATGTGCTATCAGTATGCCAAACAGGATTTGTTAAGGCAAAAGGAATCATTGGTAACGTTTTTATGATAAAACAACTGTTGATAAATAGCTGAGAGAAAAAAAGAGACAAGTATATTGGTGCTCTGAGGTTTTCAAAAAAGCATTTAATTCAGTTGACAGGGGAACCTTACGGTTTAAAATGAGAACAGGAGTGATTTGAAGTACATCAAATTGTACTATGAAAAGTCCAAAGATACAAAATTTTGTGTAAAATGTGCGGATAATGAAGTAACAAAATTTGTCCCTCTAACATGGGACTGAGACAGGAGTATAGCCTAAGTCCTCATATGTTTTAACATTTTTTGTATAAACGATATTTTGGAATACACAAATATACAATATATATAATATATTACAATATACAATACTCATGCCCACTGATAGGCAAAATTACCATTCCAGGCTTGCTATGTAAGAATAACTTGGCAGTGTCATCATTCACAAGTAATGGCCTACAAAAGGCAACACAGACTGCACACTGCAACAAGTAGATAGTAAACAATCAACAATCTAACACAATTATGTAGAATGAACTCACCTACAATAAATCATCATCATCATCATCAATACACAAAATCTTTGAATACACCATTGTTTAAAAAATCTATGCAATCACTATGTTTATAATTTTCATACATGCAAGTTTGCACGCACAGATATACTTATGCATATATGCATATGCACGCACACATACAAAAGGTTTTACCAAAATTTGTAGATACACTTACAATCATAATTCCAAATCTCAGAGCAGCTCAATAAATAGTGTTGTCAAACAAGACTAAATTCAGAATACTGCTTGTCTTCTGGAATGTGACACTGTGAAGTCTGATGGAAGTTCACTGATATTTCAGAGGATCATTTCTCCACCCAGAAGACAGAGGCAGCACATTCATCTGAAACACTGGAAAACTTCTACCTAGTATCACTTTGCACGGTGACATATCCCAGAAGAAAGTAATCTCATGCTCACCAACATGACAGCCTCAGATCTCACAAAATGAACTCCAGATTCCATGTGGTGCCACATCATTATTTTGGATTCTGCAAAGTATGACATATTGTTTAGAATATTGCACTTCAGCTGCTGACAGCACTGAGGGACCAAAACTAAATCTGTTTTAAGTCTTCGTGCAGACTGCTTGCACTAATTTTATCATGGTCTTTAAGTCAAATTTTAATCCTTTCATGTGATATGATAAATATTATGTGAGACTTAATGTATATTAGACATGTACAAGTCTCAAATTTCTAAGACTGCACTGAGGAAAAATATGTCAATCTCGATTCTAATACCCATTTTCAGTCTTCAATTCTGAGGAATTTTCAAATAACTGCTTTTACTTTCCGAATCATAATGATTGGCAACACCAACATGAACCATCTTGTCCATAAAATCAGTCTTTGCCCTCCCCATACTATCTTTCTATATTCCTGTATGCAGCATCAGTATTTCACTTTCTGACAACCAACTCATCTCGGCACTTGCAGTACAAACCTACAAGCACAAGAAAAACTGGCTAGTGTTTTATATTGTGATTACAGTGAAGAAACTGGGCTAGGAGAGTTCTTGATCTCATCTTGAATCTCAAAATATTTCCAAATTCTCATTTCAATGTCACTTTGGACTGAAAAAATTCATTCTTGAATATGCCTAACATATACTGATCTATAGATATAATTTTTTAAAAGACCTGCCATTAAGATTTCTGTTTCTATATTGTCATTATTATAATAAGATGAGTGGTATTATGTTCACTCCAGTATCTACTGCATGTTATAAAAACTGCCTATTTTATCATATATCCAGGTTAAGGCTGATATTATCAACGATTATTTTACCATTATCATTCTCATGAGTGAATGTGGGAATGAAAAAGTTCTGATAATGATGCATTACACTTAGGGCTCTGGGGTCTGGACTTTTACCATTGTCTAGAGTTCCAACCAGAAAATGTTTTGGAATCTGAATCTGTTTCCATCTTCAAGTAATGAGGTGCAGAGGCACATACTCAGCTGTGTTCATTAGAAGGAGCTTATCTTTGTCCAGTGGAGATATATACATTTTTCCACCACATAACGTATACTTTACTCCCATTTTTTACAAAGTGGGTGATATGTTTCAGCATACATTTGCCAGTTTCCAAAATGCATTGTTCTGTGCAGAATATTCGGAGACGGACAACATCCAGACACTCAGTAATCCTTACAGCAGACAAGATTGAATGGGTTTCTGTAAGCATTTCTGAAATCATGATATCCACAGAACAGGTTGAGATGGCAACATCTGTCATAATGATGTTCATGTGAATGTGTCCTGCAGCTTCAGCTTGGCTCCATATACAACAAGCATCATGTCCTGTACTTTCTCAATGATGTTATGATACACTTCTTGCCACACACTACTGCTTTTCTTGTAGACATGCCTGCAAATTAAGACAGACACAGTCAGTATTTTCACCATTAGCTTAAAATAGACAAGACAGTGACATCTTCATTTAACTGAACACTAAACAGTACATTAAATAGTGGTTCAGCTGTACTTGTAATTTCCAGCATTGTCCATGGCTGTTGAAGTAAGACAGTCATAACACACTGGCAGCAAGAACCTGAATGTAATGAGCAGTCTTCCAAATTAATTTCTGTAACTAGAAACATAACAGTTCCTTTGAAGAACTTCTGATGCTCATTTCCCTTTGAATGCTTAAATCTAGACACAAAAACTAAAAAGAATTATACATTAATAAGTGTCACACAATTTAGTTACATACTTGCAGTTTCCCACTGTCTATCCTACAGGTTTTCACAATATTGCTTTACGTATACGAGGGAGAGTCGGTAAATATAAGGTCACAAATGGAAGTAAAACAGCTGTAATGGATATAATAGGTTTTCCATGTGTAAAATTTGGTAGCAGTACAGACCAGCTTCATGAAAGTCTAGGTAGCAGATGGCATGTGCATGTTCAGAAGCTGGTTTCAAAAGTCAAAATAGTGACAGTGCTTGAGTAATGAACTACCGAAGAGCAGCGTTTGTTGTGCAGTTTTATGGGCATAAGGACTAAATGCAAAAAATATATTGATAAAGAAATGTTTCCTAATCACTGTAGGAAGTGTTTTGTCGTGTAAAGTGGTCACAACTTGGTCAAAAAATTCTCTCAAGGACGTTTGAAAGTCGCAGATGATGCCCGACATGGTTGCCCTGTTGAGATGGTGACAGACGCAACTGTGTAGCAGGTGGAAGATATGATTCAAGCTCATAGGAGGAGAATGATAGACAGTGTAGCAATTGCACTAGGGTGTTCCCATGGTTTAGCATACAGCATTTTGCATGACTGTTTTGGAGTTTCGGTAAGAGTGCAAATGGTGGGTGCCACAGAACTGAAGGACCAAGAAAATATGAACCAAATGGGTCTGTCCTTGCAACATCTCTTCTGGTAAGCAGATGGAGGAGAAGATATGCTTAACAGGATTGCTACTGGGGACAAATTATGGGTGCATCACTATTAACCCAAAGCAAAGCATGCCTCAATGCAATGGAAACATCCCAGTTCACCTTCTCATTCAACCAAAAAGTTTAAGGTTACACCATCAGCTGGGAAGGCTGTGCTTACTGTGTTCTGGAATTCTCAGGGAGTACTGTCAGCCCATTTTCTGAAGTGTGGTGAAAATGTGAATTCTCCATCATACCATGTTTTGTTGAAGCTTCAGGATGCAATTTGCAAAAAACATCCAGGACAATTGGCAACAGGGGTAGTGCTTCATCATGACAATGCCAGACCCCATACAGCCTGAGAAACACAGGAGAGAATTCAAGAACTACAATGGGAACTTTCTGAACATCCACCTTACAGCACAGACTTGGCCCCTAGTGACTTCCATCTGTGTGGTCTGCTACAAAACCACCTTGGTAGAAAATGTTTCACTGATGATGACGAGGTTGAAACAGAGGTGTAGAAGTGGCCGAGACAACAGCCAAAAGACTTTTGACCTAATCCTCTCAGCTGCACTATGGTCCTGGCCTGGGGTCCACCCAGCCCCTAACAAAAAATGAGTACCAGGAATCATCCTGGGATAAAGTATGGCCAGTGCGTAAGGCGGACCTCACTGTCATCTCTGAGCTGAGTGTCTAGAAAACCCCGTTGTTAGGTAACAGCCAATAAACACATTCCCATAGCAAGTGATACAGCACTTGTTGTAAGGCACTGGCCCACTAAACACGTCCAACATCATCACAAGTGGGTCACTGCTAGGCAACGAATAAACATTCAATGATACAGGAACTGCTGGAGACAGTGTTTTCTATGTCATCCGTCCCAAAGCTATATAATGAGGACCAAGAGATTTTCATAAAAAAGAATCAAATATCTGGTCTCAAAACCAAGACAGACAGACTGACTGACTGTCGGTCGCAATGTGACTTTGACTTTGACTTCATAAGAGTTAAACCCATCCTCTCATCAGAGAGGATGTTACATAAGGACTATGACCGTAAGGGTTCAGTTGCAAAAAAAAAATGGTGGTCATGAGTATCAAGGAGATGGGTGCCAAAACAAGATGATTGGCAGTAAACGGCCAGTCATAAAGTAACTTTGACTCTGACTATGACTGAAGCTATTCAGGGTGAAAGACAAGCATCCGAGCCACTAGACCACAAGGAATACACACCAACTCGAGTCACCTCTACTACAAAGGAAGTAATTAGTAGTAATCAGACCCCCTTATGAACATGTACATGTCTAGTAGAAAACAAAAATGTTGGTTATGGATCCCAATGGGACTCAAAACCAAGAATTACTGCACTGGCAAGGGCAGCAGCAATTTAACCAACCAATGAGCCAATCCACCAAGCCAGCCAGAAGTCAGTGTTTAAAGCTCCCAGAGCCATGAGACAGTAAAATATGGTCACAAGTCTCATGGGGCTCAGAACCAAGGATCACTGTGCTGGCAAGGGCCACCAGCAATTTGGCAGTCAGTGAACTGCGAATAGGTCCAACAAATATTGGGCCTACACAGAAAGACTAACCCCTCCCCTCATCAAAGAGGGGGCCCCACTTCTAAAAGTGTACATGCCTAGGAGAGAATAAAATTCTTGGTCACGGATCCTGATAGGATTTGAAACGAACAATTACTGTGCTGGCAAGAGCCAGCAGCAAATTAACTGACCAACCAATTAATGAAGCCAGCCAGTCTTGAGTCAGTGGTTAGTGAGTGCAGTTTGTGAGCTGTTTGTGAGCTGTATGTGAGCAGTGGCAGTTTTTTATTGGCCATGAAGAACCTCAGTGGTTAGCAGCGGTAACCTAGCAATGCAATGGTAATCAAGCTATGACCACTGGAGACACAGACTGAAACTTTGCGTGTGCTGTGGTGATTTGTTAAGTGTGTATATTAGAATTAGTGTTATAATTCTTTGTAGTTATGAGTTATAAGAGTCCAACAAATCCAATTATCAATCCAAACCCCATGCCTGGTCACCAACACGTGACAAAAACAACAGTAACAACAATCATCTGTAACATTCTTGCAGTTGTGAGCAACAGTGATTTAAATGAACTAGAATCAGCACTTATGATCATCTGTGCATGAGCCCACCACTCCAGTCAATGAGGTAAACTGAATCTCATTACTGCATTACGAACTTATGTTACCCAAATATGACATTAACACTGCAGAATTTGTACAACTGGAAGTCAGTGAAATGGGAAAACTGGCATTTATTATGAATTCTACTTGAAACTTCTTGCTGCAACCTATTTTCTTCAGTCTATATATCATGCCCTTCAGTGTTTAAAATTATGTGTTTTTAGTACTGCCCATTAATAGCTGTTATTCTGTCTGTTACACTTTCCTTGACATTTTGATGCAACATCAAAGGAAAGTATAAACTTAACATTAAAAAGGCAGGCAAATGTAACAAATGAAATGGTACACATTAATAGGCAATGCAAAAGGTACATATATTTAGGCCTTTGAAATTCATTCATATATTTAAAGACTCAGTTCCTGCATCACAGGAAATACACTGTCTCCATTTAAAGAACCGGTTATAGCTGTTTAGGAAAATAACTGCAGTTTATTGTGACAATCATTCAAAACACATAAAACACTACATACATAATGCAAAATGTTTTCATGTTAACCATTGCGGCCCATTTAAACACCAATGAGCTATGTAATTTCAATCACTATTGTGAACTGGTTTGATTTTCTTTATAACTTGCATAGAGCAGAAGAAACTTTGGTAAGTATGATGAAAATATGGTCTGAACGAATCACATTTCCTACTGCTTGAATATTGATTGTGTGAAGTATTTTTCACGGATTCTAACGCTCTCGGTCGTGAGATATATTGTGAATGGTGCCTGTCTATTTGCTATCATTCCACAGAGAATGAAACCAAGATGAAGTCGTCGGAGACAAGTTTGGTAGTGTATGTAAGAGTATTTCTTCATTGTTTTGATATATGACAAAACACTTGCTGGGGTGGAGTCCAGGCTTCCCTGGACATGTGTCATAATAAAATGATGTTTCTCTCCTGCCTGCTAGGTCAAAGTTGGTATAAAACCTGTCTGTGTACAGATGATAACCCTTTTCATGTGTTATGTTTTGAACCTTGCTTATGGCTTCTAGAACAATTTTGCTGGTGAATGTTAGCTCTGGGAGCATTTAACTTTTTGTAGTTGCTGACTCCTAACAGGAGCTCAGGCCACAAACATATCCATTTGTGGAATCAGGGACTACATATACGTGAAGTCCCCACTTTATTTGGTTTTGTGGATTGTACATTTTGAAAACCACATGGCCCTTGAAATTCAGAGATGATTATTCTGTAGATAAATAATGTGTTGGGCTATAAAATTCCAGAAATTTCAATTAAATGTGATCAATTACATTCTTTACTTTACTGGCTCAGAACTGCATTTACAAGCCTACAAGAGGTAAAGACACAAAGATCCCAATATAATTGTAAATAACCATGCTTGAAATATGTCCTCGTAGAACCATGAAGAGTCAAGCCACTCTTCAGAGAAAAAGTCCTTGATGGAACATTTCATGTTTTGCCACGTTCAATATAACACCTTGAAATGCCATCAGCTCTTCAACTGTAATGTCTTCCCACCTGACCCAAATCAAATGGTTTTTCAAAGGCACTGCTTCATTCTTTTTCACTCACATATCTATTCGTTTCAGAAGCTATTTCTTTGAAGAAAGTTGCACTAAAAAGAGCAGAAAAACTTTGCATGGAGAAACCGGCATCTGCCCACTTCTGAGGTGGTTTATAACCAAATGAGGCACACATGGTATCTTACAGAAATCATGGTCATTTTCATCCCATAGTCCAACCTTCATTATCACTGTCATCATCGTTTTCACCACCACCATCACCACACCTACATTCACACTTCCATGACTGTCATCAGAAGTACTACCACTGCCACCAAAATCAGGCTTACTTATTTCAGCATCAGGATCACTATGGTCAATTATACCAATATCAGGATCCTGACTAATTTCACTGAAAGAATGTGAGTCATTATGCAGCTGTTCACGAATCTGTTTGCCATCTAACGAACACCCACTTGTAGACACAACTGGGATATAACTTCTGAGGAAAAATATGAAGACACTTTGCAAAATCTATTGTAAAGTTCAAAAACATATTACAAGGAATGATTGCTACTGCACAGATTAAGGCTTGAATCATATACTGCCTTGGCAGACTCATTCCAAGACAGACAGATAGATAGACAAACAGACAGGCAGGCAGATAGACAGAAGAAAAAGAAGAAAATAAACTACTGATCAGACAGTGGAACCAATAATTTTAATACACTAGGTGGTTCAAATATGACCGGGACTGGTTTTTTTTTTAAACAAGCCGCACTGTGCAGCAGCTGTGCGACCTTGAGAGAGTGAAGCCACAACCTCCACCCTCCCTCCTGTTAGGGTTAGAACCTGTTCAGTTCTGTCTGGAAGTTGCTAGAGTGATGAGTGAACAGAAGGTACCACGGAGCGTGGAACAACGCATTGTGATCAAATTCCTCATTGGAGAAAACGTCCCGTCTGCTGAAATTCACCACAGACTCCAACAGCAGTATGGGGAAGAGTGTCTCTCACGGACCCATGTGTTTGAGTGGTAAGTGCTTCAGAGAGGGCAGAGAGCGCATGGAGAATTGACCGCATGATCGTCAGCTGCGAACACTCGTCACCAAGCCAAACACTGATCGTGCAGATGCACTTATTCGTGAGAATAGGCACATCACTATCAAAGAACTTGGAGCAATGCTGTCCATCAGTGTTGGTAGTGTAGAAGACATCATGAAATACCACCTGCACTATTGCAAGGTGAATGCATGGTGGGTACCACGCACTTTGACGGACATGAATAAAATGGTGCACATGCAAGTTGCCAGTCGTCTCCTACAGCAGTTTGAAGACAAAGGTGATGCATTTTTGAAGTCTATAGTGACCACCGATGAAACATGGGTGCCCTACTTCACTCCCGAGTCCCAGGAATCATCATGCGAGTGGCAGCATACCAGTTCTCCCAAACCCAAGAGGAGCCGTTCGGCAGGAAAAGTGATGGCAACGTTCTTCTGGGACTGGCAGGGGATTATCCATGTAGACTTTCTGACAGATGCCAGAACAGTCAATGCAGCTTATTACTCAGACCTCCTGGCAACAGACGTGAAGGAAAAGATTCGATCCAAGCGGAAGAGAGGTGGAAAGCGGGTAGCCTTCCTTCAAGACAATGCACACCCCCATACAGCCAAAACAACAATGAAAACCCTCCAGAAATTGAAATGGAACCTTCTGACACATCTGCTGTACAGTCCCAATTTGGCACCAAGTGATTTCTACCTGTTCGGAAGGCTCAAATCAGACTTGCAAGGCATGCGGTTTGTGGACAATGACGCCGTCATCCAGAATGTTCGGGAGTGAATACGCCGCCAACCACAAAACTTTTTTGAAAAGGGCATCAGGATGCTTCCAGAACATTGGAAAAAATGTGTTGACTCCGGAGGGGAGTATGTTGAAGACTGACATTTGCAAGTAAGTGTTTGGCAGTTTTGGTTTAAAAAAAAATCAGTCCTCGTCATATTTGAACCACCTTGTAATTTTAATATTTGGTGAGGAAATCTTCCGTGAAACATTTAAAATTGAATTTCATTACAGAACAACAGATAAATTCCAGAAGATGTCTGAAGTACAGGAGAAACATTTCAGGTGCAACAAAATTTCTTTATTGTATGCATCCTGTTGTGTATCACTATGTGGTATTATTATATGGCTGTGAACACAACAAATTCAAAATAAATAAACCAATATTACTGTATTGTCACTTGTTTATTATTCTGTACCTGCTACATGTTTCGATTCAGCTGGATCATCATCAGGCAGTGACAGTGATACATCACTCGTTATTAAATTGTATTTCTTATATGGATCCATATTAGTAATTATATTAACCCTTTTGCACGGTCATTTAAATTCTGCTGCCGTGTCTCTCCGGCGGTAATATATTCAGCCGTCCATTTAAATTTTGCTCGAAAATGATTTATTCATCATTGTTCTTAAATTATATGAGATAGGAACATGAAACTTTCACTAAAATGATCTTAAAAGGTGGTTTTATAACCTTGCCTTATAATATGAGCGCCCGGTATCTCGGCAAAGGAAGCAGGTGGTTCAGAATTTGAGCGGAGTATGGTACACATTGAAGCATTCTACTATACACAGCGCTGACTCACATTCACCACACCAGTACTGCGTATCTCTCATTTGGCTCTTTTTCCGTAAACAAAACATCTTTCTGTGCGCCTTGTCTNGTCGTAGGGGTGACCACAGAATTCATGAAGTTATTCTAAGAACTGGCTGGTATGTAGTGAACGAAAGCAGAGCTTAGCTGGCTCAAAAAAATATTTATGGTCATCCCTCGAAACGACCACCAAGGTCAGTACGATAAAATGGAGTCAACTGGAGCGATAATACATGAAGGAATGAGTTCTTTTCCCTCCCCCACACACACCCGTATCGTCACAGGGGGTGACCACAGTGTTCTGCCTTAATTTGTGGCGTTTTTCTAAGAACTGGCTGCCATGTACTGTGCGAAATCAATCGATCTTGCAAGAATAAAATTTGGACATCCCTCTTCTAAGAATTCCAATTGAGTGTGTTAGTGTGGCCAGCTCAGGGCAATATGATATTATAAACACAGCACATATCACGTCTCTGCTGTTTATAACTTCATAGGAAAGAAAACACACCATTCATAACAGTAGAACGAAGAAACCTCTCCCAAGAGCAACAGGAAATTTGCTGCAAGACAGGCATATGTAACGATGACTTAGCGCTCTTAAACTCGTGACTTATTAAATATAGTTCTCCTGACAACAGGCCAGCGAAAAATCTAACAATCTACAGCAAAACCATCAATTATTATGGGCGTTATAACATAGGTGTGCAGCTGGACGAAACATTGACGTCAAACCCCCGCAGACGATTTAAATACCTTGACGAAACATACACGTCAAACCACGCTGAACAGTTAATATAATTTTCGTTACCAATTTCAACATCTCATGGTGTTACTAAATTGTAATATTAGTCATAAAGGTTAAAACATTGTCTCAAATCTCTGTTAGAATATTAACATTCTTACTGTTAATCAATTAATTAATTTTACACTGGATTCATTTTGAAGTGAAGCAAATGTCTGTAGCAATATGTCGTAGAGTACAGAGTAGTTTTTTTTTACCTGGAAGTCAGTGTTGTATTAGTCCCTTATGTATATGTTACATGGGTGATTACTTGTGTTCAAGTGATGCTAAGTTCTGTATGTTCTCTTATTTGCTTCTGTGGTGAAATTATTGTGCATGTTGTACATGGTGTGTCTTGTGTGGGGATATCACTTCTTCCCACTCCTGGATATTGTGGTTGTTCCTGTGCTATGGTTCTGTCAGTACTCCTTGTATGATTCTACTAATACTAGAAGTAGTAACAGAACCATATTAGAACACAATTCAATAATGAGTTATATATCATGAAAACTGCCTGATGATCCACCTAGATTAAAACACACAGCAGATAATGAATAATGAACAAATGTTAATACAATAATACTGGTTTATTTATTTGGAATTTGTTGTGTTGTTGGTCATATAATAATACAACAAAATAATTATTTTCTTGTAAAACACATACAGAGATATTAATGATCTTACATAAAAAATGTGAAAGTAAAAGTGCCCAGAACTTCTGCACAGACCTCAAATGAGTATTTCATAATGTGAGCTGTAAGACCAAATCTTCATAAGGACTGAGTGAATTTAGAAGTTACTTTAATTTTAAAATGCATTAACTGACTGACCTGTACAAACATTTGGCCACAAGATTTATGTCATCTAGGTTCTGATTGGCAATCTGTTTCTCTAAGTAGTCTGCTAGCATGCTGACATCACAAGGCTGTGGCACATCCTCACATGACACCCATTCCTTCACCAGTGCCCGAACCTGATTTACAGTCATTGTGCTGTACAGGGAGATATCCTGCGGACAAAAATCAATTGCTATTGAAGCTATGTCATTCCAATACCTAAGCCTAAGTACAATACACAGATAAACCTTGTCTAAAACATCCTTGAAGGTATGTCATACCTTTAGTAAGCACCCTTGCAGAAGGAAGGTTCCATGTGTTCACCAACATCACCATTACAATAATTATGGCTGTAATTGTAACTGTATACAGAGTGATTCATGAAGTTTTACCCCCACTTAGGGAGGGCATTCCTGAGGTAATTTGGAACAAAAAATGTTAATATACTAATGGTATCCAACTCATAATTAAAGAGATACAGTAATTTGAAAACTGGCGAAAAATCTTCTTTTCTTCGAATTTCAGTCAAAACAAATTAGAAATACAATACAAACACTTTTTAAATCGTTAATGTTTTAGGAAAGAAGCATTCTAAAACCAATTTTTTTTTTCAAATTACCTCAGGAATGCCCTCCCTAAGTGGGGGTAAAACTTCATGAATCACTCTGTATACAGTTACAATTACAGCCATAATTATTGTAATGGTGATGTTGGTGAACACATGGAACCTTCCTTCTGCAAGGGTGCTTACTAAAGGTATGACATACCTTCAAGGATGTTTTAGACAAGGTTTATCTGTGTATTGTACTTAGGCTTAGGTATTGGAATGACATAGCTTNTGTATGAACAGCGCTCGTAGCATTTCACAGTTCCACGCGTTTTTTTCTTATTGTTATCGCCACATCCAGTATATGTTCAAGCAATGCTTCACATATTTGTACCTTTACCTGGTACACAATGTCCTTCATCCAAGCCCAAATGCAATAAAATGAACGGCCCGATTAGCTGATCATACAGAACACCACACCAGACATTGACACTGAATCGCTGTTGAAAATTCGATTCTATCGTGGCACGGGGATTATTGTCTGCCCAAACATGTAAGCTGTGACTGTTGTTGACCCCATCACGTGTAAATTGTGCCTCATCACAGAACATTATCAAGCGGTACAACTGCCAATTTCCATTTAACCAGTTGCAGAACTGCAGACGAAGAGCACGGTCTCCTGGTTGTAGGTGTTGTACTTGTTGTAAATGATAAGGATGCAGCCTGTTCTCATGAAGAGTCCTCCATGCCACGGACTGAGAAACACCAAACCGCTGAGTTAGACGTCTTGTACTGGCATGAGGAATACACTCTACAGCATCGAGAATGGTTTCTTCTTCACACAATTCATGTTGAGGATTTCGTTCATATTGTATACAAATGCTGGAGAGAGAACCAGTTTGTCTTAATGTGCTGAATGTACTGCTAATGGATTTAGGATTCGGAATCCTGCGAATAGGATAACGCCGGTGATATTCGGCAGCAGCTCTCGCATTTCCATCACATACACCCAAAACAAACACCATATTGGCATATTCCTCAGTGGAAAATGTGTACGGCATCCTAACTTCACAAAGTCACCAACCTAACGTCCTGATCACTTTGCCTAGGATCGCGCAACATTCCAACAGGTCTGCCTTATCAGCTGACACAGCTGACTGGAACGCAAGGTCGCCCAGGAGGAGAGCAGAGCGCTGCATTCACAATGATGCATTTTGAAAATCTATTATTATTCCGTAACTATTGAAAATAGACCAAAAGTTTATGAGGAAATTTTGCAGGAAATAACCCCAGGAATATGTACCATAAGCTGGGGTAAAAGTTCGTGAATCACCCTGTATATGGGGGCACACATGGTAATGTAGTTGTTTGAGGCCCTATGCTACAAACAGGAAGATCACAGGTTCAACTCCTGATGAGGTCAGTGGATTTTTCAATTGACCCAATCCTTTTAGCCTCACTATGGCCTTGGGGTCAACTCAGCATCTAACAGAAATGAATACCAGAAATCTTTCTGGGGTTAAACGGTGGCTGGGGCATAAGGCTGACAGCCTCAGTGTCATCTGTGAGCCAACTGTCTAGAAAATGTGGGAACCTCGATGTTGAATTTGAGGTTTTCACAGCAGTGACAATGAAGAGTACTGTGATGTGACAGCTGAAAGCTGCAACAGTGGAGCCAGAGCCAGACATTCATGGATAAGCAACGGCTAAGTAAGCACTAGTTTCCATTACAACAGATAGCAACGAATGAGTAGCTACCTGGTAAGAAGTTGCTAAATATAAGATTCCTGTGAAAACTGACAGGACAACAGAGAACATTCAAGTGCTCAACGTGATGACTTCTATGTGGCCGCCTAGCACGCATAACAGTAGTAGAATTCAAAGGGAGTAGAGATCCAGAATTCAAGAGACTAGAGACTAGCCTGAGATTCAGACCAAAATATCAGCCTAAAAGGACTGATTTGTGTAACACTGCATAGTGTTGTTAACAATAAATTAAGTTCATCATTTTTACTAGTAGTGTGGTCCAGTGACTTCCTTGGTGAACCCTCTCATCGAAGCAAGGCCTGTTAAGCCATGAGTAGAATCCTCATGATCACGCCTTGAACATTATCCCTTTTTCCATCCATCAACCACTCCTGACAGTCCTGGCGTCATTTTAAGATCATGTGGCGCGCAACTATGGACAAGGAGTAAGTGGGAGGAAGAAGACAAAGGGGGCGGTTAAAAAGTGGTCACCCAATGAGTGCCTATGCAAAATAAAATGGTTAGAGTAACGAACTTTTCTAAGGCTCAGAATAAGGAAGGTATCTTCTAAAACCTACTCTAACCAACCAGTCAACTCCAAGGAAGTGAGACCTTTCTGAGATGTCACCAGTTGTGAAGCCACTCAAGAATTTCCTAACATTTTATGCTCTGCCCATATCATCAACTTTAACTAGATCATTATTATACTTGCTGAAGAGTACAAGTTATGAAGCTCCTCATTATGCAGTTTTCTCAAACCTCCTGTCACTTCATCTCTCTTCAGTCCAAATATTCTCCTCAGCACCCTGATCTCGAACACCCTCAGTCTACGTTCCTCCATCAATGTTAGAAACAAAGTTTCACACCCATACAAATTCACATGCAAAATTATAGTTCTGTATATTCCAATTTTTATGTTTTTAGACAGCAGATGAGAAGACAAAAAGTTCTAGACTGAATGGTAGCAAGCTTTACCCAAATTCAATCTCCTCTTAATTTCCTCCTGAATCAAGTTTTGATTTGTTGCTGTTGTCCCCAAGTACTTGAACTCTGCCACATTTTCAAAAGCTGTCTCAGCTATTTTCAGGTTATGATTTTGCCTTGCAGTCTGGTGATAAGACCGCAACACATATTTAGTTTTCTCTGCAGTTACATCTGGACCAACCTCTTTACTATTGTCAATTAGAGTTTCTCTGTTTGTCTTTCTGGGATCTATGTTATCTCCCAATAGATTTACATCATCAGCATAGACCAGCAGCTAATCTGTCTCAATTAACTTTGGTCCCACCTGGTTTTCCTGGACCTTCCTAATGGCATATTCTAAAGTAAAGTTGAAAAGCAATGGTGATAAAACATTTTATTCCTTTAGACCATTTTGGATTGGAAACTTGTCAGATAAATGTTCACCTATATAGACTTTACTACAGATGTCATTTAAACACAATTTAATAAGACTAACTAGTTTCATAGATACCCCAAACTCTATGATAATATTGTAAAATACCTTCCTCCTAACCGAATCAAAGGCTTTCTTGAAATCTATAAATAGCTGATGTGCTGTCTTATTGTACTCTCATCTTTTCTCCAGCATCTGACTGAATGCAAAAAATCTGATCAGTAGTTGATCAGTTATGTTGAAACCCACACTAATGATCCCCAATAATTTCATCTACATATGGAAATGAATGTGGAGAAAACAAAAGTAATGAAAATTTCGAGACAACCAACCCCAGTCACAATAAAGACAGACCAAAAACAACTGAAGAATGTGAAATGTTTTAAATATTTGGTTAGCTTGTTAACAGATGATGGAAGGTGTACTAGTGAAATTAAATCCAGGATT